GGGGGGAGGGGCGGTGGTGTCGAGGCGGGGCAGATACGGAGGTTGAGGTTGCGGGGAGATGGAGGCGCAGGCGATGGAATTGATAATGATGGGATCGGTGAGGAAGGGAAGAATGGTAAAATATTTGGGATTCTCGTTCGGCTCAGGTCGCGCCATCCATTCCATCATGGAACGGCCATCGACGAGCCTTCCACCATGCATGATGCGGTGGAAGGCTCGTCGATGGGCGAAGCATTGAGCGTCGCCTCGCGCGGGCTCCTCAAGGGGGCGATCGGCTCCACATGCAGCGCCGATCGTTGTATCGCGCGGGCTCCACAAGGGGGCGGTCGGCTCCACATGCAGGGCTTGGGGGGGCTGGGCGGCGAGGGGCCGCCGGGCATGTCTGGACCGATTTGACTTGTGCGGAGGCGCCGATGCATTCTCGCAACTACAGTACACTGCACGCACTCTCACCAGTCTGCTTCAATTGTGAAGCGAGCGGAGGCCGTGAGGATGGCAGTGTCATTGTCGTGGCGTCAAGGTAAGGCGAGCACTGCAGGCGCTACCTTCGAAGGTACCGGGTACCCCGGGTACCCGAAGGTACCACCTCGGTATCTGCTCCCACGCCTCTTTTGCAGGAGGCACAATGTGACATGTCATGTCCGAACCATTTAGTCATGAGGTCTACACGTGTAGTTGCGCATTTCCCCAACAGAGCACTGCCGTTTGGTGCAGTCCGGTATTTATAATTACAGGGGGGTCTCCTCAATAGTTCGCTTTGCAATAGTGCACATGGCCAAAAGTGCACCCCTTTCATCAATGTCACAACTCTTGCCACGTGTACACCTACCTGTGCATGTGGAGCCATTCCGATGTAGATGCACACCGCTGTGCTGCGGTTGACGACCACGACCGGGCACCCCGACCAGCGAGGGACCAGCGACCACCGATGGCGACCACCGCGACCACCGACCTATCAATAGGTCGCGGTGGTCTCCATCGCGCTTGTTGGTGATATCTCCAACAAGCGCGCAAGAAGCGACGTCAAATGCTCATATCGGAGCATTTTGTGGCCGGTGGGCTGTGACCTGTGGATGGACCTTTATTAGTTGGCGCTGTCAGTAGTGCGTATCTATAGCTGATGGCACGAGGGTGCACTATTGAGGGGCACCTACTGTACCTACTGTAGTATTTTTGTGCCTGCCACCTCATCGCTGTACATGACCACTGCCTCCCCACGCGGGCTCTCGCCGACGGCACCTCAGGGCCGTTCCGAACGGTGCCGCGGTGCCAGCACCTCCGGACCCTGACATTTGGCATGAATGGATTGGATATAAAAAATATTAGAAATGCTTTCCTCCCATTCAACCTCAGTGATCTAAGATATCCCCCTTTCCTCCTCGCCCGTAGCATCAAACCCTCTTATCTTCCGTCTCGTCCTCCTTGCTCGCTCCATCCTTCCCCTTCTCCCTTCCTCCCCTCCCCGCCCTCACCATGTCCGCTCCCCCCTCCCCCCTCGACACCGTCTCCCGCCTCTCCCTGCACTCCCTACGCGTGGAGCTGTGCCGCCGCAACCTACCGACCACCGGTCTGCGCCCTGCCCTCGAGCGGCGTCTATCCGCGGACCTAGCGGCGCACCGCGCGTCCGCCCCGCCGTCCCCTTCTCCCCCGCGCGCGCCGCCGCGCCCGTCCCGCGGCATCCGCAAGCGCCCGCGCGGCACCATCTCAGTCCCGCGCGTCTTCGCTTGCGAGAATCCCCCCGCGGGCCTGCTGCCGCGCGCGCACGTCGCCCCGCGCC